GTGATCGTCGACAACTGCTCTCTGGGGATCGAGGATTCTCTTTATACATGCTGTTGCTGCCTGGCAATCGTATTGCATTGAGCAGTACAGGAACATTTACTAGCGGAACAGTAGAGAATTGTTTTCTTGAAAAAGGCACATTTGATTCACCTGAACTCGAATTAGAATCTAAAACTTCTTCTTTGCCTATGGATTCTCCTGGGGCACTTGCTTTGTCTCCACAAAAAAATCTCCTTGTAGCAGTTTCCTGGTTTCATGAGGTATGAGGTATGCATGGACTGGGAAAACCTTAAAGTGCTAAAAACACGGGTTATTTCTATTCTTGAATTCGAAAGTGAAAATACAGAAGGTTGGGTGTTACTAAACAGAGTAACGTAGTAACGAGTAACGAGTAACGGAGCAAGGAGAAAAACAAGGGGATAAAAGTTAAAGAGGTTAAAAAATTATATGAAAAATAAAATAAAAAATATCATTTAAATAATTATAGCGGGCGACAAAAGGAGCCCGCTGCCTATTTTTGGTCAGCGGCACTCTATTAATTCTATAGCGAGATTTTTCCCGAATCTGTCCACATTCTTCGGATGCCAGTGTTGAACCGACTAATATGCACGGCATGTGGCCGCGAAGGCACTGGTGTTGAGTTTAAGGTCTGAATGATGTCACGGTAATCACGTGAATGCACATGCAGGGAGGAGGAGGAGAAGGAGGAGGAGGAGGAGGGAAAGCAATAAAAATGTTGAGAAGCAAAAACAAGGGAGTAGGAAAAATGAAATTTTTTTTCGTGGTAAAAATAGCTAGTTTCCCTGCGTCCTCATTAAATATGCACGATTTGCGCGCCACGAATCAGTGAACAGGAACTAGGACAATGATAGCGTCAGAAAAACGTGCAAAAATACGTTACGGCTCAGTGATTTCAAGTCACAGACGAGCTGGCGCTTAAAACCGGTTAAATAAATCTAGAACATGACAAACAGCTTAAAACTGGTCAAGGCTACGAGAGCCAATTGTTTTTATCGTATTAAGAATACAAAAAAAAGATAATGAGATTCCTTCGCAACGTCCACAATGGCTCCACATCCCTTGCCTTTTTCACCCATTTCAACCAACAACACATGATTGCAGCACTCACACGTACTTGACACAAAAAAATCCTCACGTATGCCTGATACAACGACGCCCAAGTGTACGCTTCGTTAGCGTCTTGTTTCTACTGTATGTGGTACATAAGTCACGCGAGAAGACGAACAGTACATATAGCCTCGTTTCCATGTTGTTCTAACTGATTCAAATTGTTGAATGCAAAAAATTTCAAAAAAGGTATTTTTTCTTTTCTTCAGTAAAATCCGTCCAGCTCTAGCTCGCTATTGCGAACAACAAAGTTACAAGCGCGTGCATAGGTTACGCGTTGAGTAACTTTGGAAATAAAAATACTGAAGAGACAACTCGCAGTTTGAAGTTTTCAATTTAAGAATCCAGGTTGGAATTGTCCAGTTTCGAATTAAAAATCACCGCTGAATATATACATTAACGACACATTCATACAGGGTTACCCTCGACGTAAAGTAACATTTTCAGAAATTCTGGCACGTAAGTGTTTGAAATTTGAATATATTACTATATTGTGAATATATTACTTCAGATGGAGGCCAAAGCTGTAAAAAATGCGTCTTCACTTCTTTAATTCAGCAGTCATAGCGAACTCGAAAATGGACTATTCAAGGTTTCATGGTCCTGTGCAATCTCGTTCCCAGTGGCCGACTACTCATGGACTACAAACCATAGACGCCATGATAGCTCTTTTTACACCACGTATCAGGGGCGAAACCCTTATCCACCGCTGGACAGGGCACCGGGAACTCTGGGAAAGAGATTGGGTCTCGTGATTAAGCAAGTGCCTGTGCCTGAGCGAGGAGAACGATTACTACATATACCACAATACAACATGTACAGACTGTTTCACAGTTTTTATTAGTCCTAATCAAGCCACTTCTGCCCTGTTTATCCATATTTTATACCCTGGAAGGTAATCTGGCTAAAAATTGCTTGCCATATACTCGATGTTTTGAAATAAATTAATGTCCTCCTTTGGAGTAGCCACTTACGATATAATACGCACCCATTTCTAACAACTGCGATCGTAATCAGCGTCATAGTCTCTACTATGCTATATTAAACTTTTTTCTCTGAATCTGTGATAATCTCTGTCACCTTTTTAAGACGGCGTGCTTTCAAGTCATATCTCGACTGCAATATCGTGTCTTTCCATTTTTTATACCCTGGCAGGTAATCTCGTTAAAAATTGTTTGGAGCTCTGACGATCTGAACATAAATAAAGACCATTTGAGATAAAAGGTACCCCCTTAAACGAATTAACTTTATCTCCACAGTATCTCTAATTTAGATTATACATAACGTATGCAATGTTGTGGTTTGATTCTCTTGAGTTTGATTTTCATTTTCTTTGTTTCACGTTTATCGTGAGAAATTGTGCTCACCAAGTCGATACAACGAAAAAAAAAAAACAAAGAAAGAAAGATGAAAACCAAGCCCAACATAAGTCTAAACTGCAGCACAGGAAAAAATGTTTTATCCGGAAACTATTCACTTTGTAACTACTGTTAAAATGACCAATCGACAAGAAAGATTCTAGATGTCTCCTTTAAAATACAAATAGTTTGAAATAAATTGTCGTTCCATAAACTGATTTTTGATTTTGAAGACAGACTCAAAAGTTAGAACTAGAACTACATTTAAAAGTCTTCAAAGTCTACCCTGGTAGCGCCGACAGGGTTAAGTTTTGGACTGAATGTGCAGAACGCTGATTGTTCCAATGCGAGAGATTCCAGGTAAGGAAAATTCGACCGGGCGCAGGAGCGGCAAAAGAATCCTTCACCCTAGAAAACAAGGTAGAATATCAGTGACTAAGATGAAGGTCCACAGCATGAAACTGCAGACTCAACGAAATAAACTAGCTATAACTGGAAGTAATTTCCTGATAAAAAAAAGCATGAGTAAACGAACGAAGTCCAAAAAAGGATGGGGTGGCCATATTCGCTAAAAATTCTCCTACTTCTAGCAATTAAAAAGTACACTCTTAAATTGGTAATCAGAAAAACTAACTCTTGTCTCATTAGTGCCTCTTGTAATAACACGTAAAACTAATGATCAGCAATTCACGTGTCTGTGTAAGGCCTGGTTCAGACGTCGAACTTTTCATGAGCCAAACCAATTCAATTTGGAACGGCTCAGCCGTTCTTTTCTCCTAGCCCGGCCAGGAATTTCGCCTATGGAACGACTTTGATTCAGACGCCGAACTTTTCATGTACCGAACCTAATGCTTAAGTTAAAATAGCGTATTTTGTAAACAGTTTGACTGAAATAAGCATTTTTCGCCTTTTGAACTTAGTTCAGCGGCAGTTAACATCGTCGCCTGAATCAATTCAGCCGGTCTAAATAATTTGGGTCGGCCGTTCGGCTCATGAAAAGATCGGTGTCTCAACCGGGGCCTAAGTGGCTTGCATTTGTAGGTCTTTCATTGGACCCCGTCCAATGGCAACACGTAGCATCCGTTTATCATTTAGTGACTGATCTGCGCAGTTGTGCGCGAGACCCTTATCTCTGTATCACTTTTAGTTCGCCTTCGCCTTCGACCTGTATACACGTCGTATGAGGTATGTGCAATCCAGCCTTTGGTTCTCACAGGTGTATGAACTTAGTTGACACTGATTTACATTGTTACCAATTGAAAAAGTAAAACGGTGCATGAAACTCTCTGCGTTTTCTTTGTGGTGTCCCTTAAGTTCTCCCAACCACTGCTACGTTGATTTCTTTGTTTTCTTTGCTTTACGCTAGCCGTGAGTTCTAAAGGTTCTTACACAGAGCCGGATTAGCCAATATAGCACGTCCGGCGATCACTAGACAGCCTGACTCAAAGAGAAAATGGAGCGCGAATTTTTTTGCATCAAGAATAGTAATTTTTCGACGCAACAGGTCACACTTCACCTTCATGATATGTAGTACCCCGACTATGATCACAATTATTCCTTTTTGCAAAGTTTCTTTTGACTACAAACAATGAAAATAGATATAATTGCTAGCAACGACTTGAGGATTATAGACTCTCCTTATTTACACTGAATCGTAAAGTAATTTCTATCTGGCCTTCAGAATCAGAATTATCACTTTTATACTACTACACGAAAAATTTCTGCAATTTGATTGGCTTAGAGCAATAGTATTCCAGCTTAATTTGAAATACCTACATGTGAAAATTACAAACCTTTTGCGGGTAGTAGTATAAAGAAATAATAGCATGATTTGTACGTGATATTTGGCATAAATACCACTCGTGATATTTCAAAATTGTCTCAAATTTCACTCGCCTAACGGCTCGTGAAATTACGTATAACAATTTCGAAATATCACTCTTGGTATTTATGCCAAATATCACTACAAATCATGGTATTACCTATACTAATATCATAGGTGACGAATTACTCCTTAATTTTGGCGCGAAATTTCAGCGTTAATTTGTAATTTCACATGTGAAATTACTAAATTTCCATGCAACCTGCCGTACGTCTTCGTTTCAAGATGGCGACGAAGTTTTAAAATGTCATGAATGAAGATGTCAGGGCATAAAAAGACGCTTTAGAAAACCTGAACACACGAAAGAGCACACCAAGAAGAATTCTTAGAGGTATGTTGTCGAAAAATTCTGAAAACTTAAGCCAAATTTCATCTCTAAACGTTTGAGAGAGTAGAGTTCACGATCGATCGATATCATCCAGGATAAACAATTGCTGAGGTAATTCGTCACCCATGATATTAATAGGTAATCAAATGGTATACTCGTGAAATTATTCCCTAATTTCACTCGTCACCATTTGATTACACATACTTATTACTCAGTCCAGGGAGATTACCGACAAGATATGACTGCATAGTATTTCAGTTTCTATACCAACTGTAAACACAAAAATAAATAAAAACAAAATGTTCAAAGCACTTACCGAAACGATGAGTTCTTCTACAACTTGGCTCTTACACTTGACACAGGGCTGTAAATAAAGGAAGCTGAAATTACAAAAAGAACTTGCTCCTGCAACACAGGACTGGTAAAGAGAGTATAACATATGTGTGGGTGTGTGTTATTTGTGGTTACTTCACTTCGGCTATGCTAAACAAAGACCTCCACACGCATTCATTTTTACTTGAAAAAGGATAGTTTTTCTCCAGATTGCCCTTCTGTTCACCCGTATTCGAACAAAACGGTCCCTTAAAACACTCTTCAGAGTCAGGAAGTAATTGAAAACGCCCTTTTCTCGAATGCGTACATGTGGATGGACAAAAGCGGAAATTTGCAACGACAAAGAATAAGTTTCTTATCTCGAGCGGGATAACATTTCACAGGCACTTGGCCATAGTTACAGGTATAATAGTTCTTTGATGTTTAAGGCTAGAATTGAACGATTCGAAGACGCTACGCAAAGGTAAGAAATTCTGAACACGGACTTGAGTTGACCTTCTTTTTTAGAAAATACGTGGTGTATTTGGAGAGGAAACAAACAACCAAAAAGCAACAACTTAGCATAGTAGTTAAACTCAGTACCTTTTGTAAGTGTATGAGGTTCACAATTTTCTGGCTGAGTCTAAGGGACTTCTTGGCCCGGCTAACCGCTACATACAAAAGGTTCTTTTCATCATCCTCCAGTTCGCCTAAAAACGTTAATCAAATAACTAGCATTACAAATTTAAGGATAAACTTTAAGTCCGACCGCGGCTAGACTAGCTCGGTCGGTAGAGCGCTTGACTTATTGAGGAAGAGGCCGCGGGTTCGATTCCTTCGCTCAGATGGACATCCCTAGAAGACCTAGAATAGGGATAACTTACAGATGTTGGACTGAAAAAAAAAAAAACAATTACAACGACGACACCAGAAATAAAAACAACTCCCGTTAAGGCCACTTTTAACGTCCCAACAACTCCATTTTATCATTGTTCTACCGAGCGACATCTTTCAGCATTCAGACATGACTAAAAATATTTCATCTGTTTTCTTTTTTTATCATATGCATCGTTTTGGTTGGATTAACGGATTCTTCCGTTGCGCATCAATCAAAACTGTTGTAAATGTAAATGCATGATAGCCCACTAATGCAAATGCTTTTAAGCGAAATTCTTTTCGCACCCCGCTATTGCGGACCCTTGCTATCCAGGCCACCTAACTCGCCGTCAAGATGGGTGTCCGCCATATGGGGGTTGACTGAACATGGTGGTTCAACGAATTGGTTTGTGGATGAAATAGTTGGATTGACCACCACAATTAAGATTACTAAAATGTTCTTCGATGCACTTTATAGACCTTCTTAGCTTGTATGTTTTGTTTTCCTATTTCAGACCAAGTGACGTTCTTCCAAATGTCATCTTATCCTACTGTATATATGTTTCCTACCCCTGATTATTCATGAATAAGGGCTAGGAGACAACGTAAATTACGAATGAACTTAGGTTGAAAAATTCTAATCTGTATTTAATTTTGACCGGTGACATATGCATGCACACTTTATTGAAAAACATTACGTAGTCTGAAGCGGGGGAAAAAACATACAAGCCGAAAAGGTCTATTATCCTTTACGAGGTGGTTGTTGTACAAGCGGATGGAAAACACACACAAGCTGAACCGGTCGTCAACTCACCGAGGTAAAGCCCCGAGTCCAATCCAGAAAGGAAGTCTTCTGCCACACGCACATGATCAAATTCCAGGCCTTTTGCTTTGTGAGCCGTGGAAAAAATTACATCTGGGAAAAAAAAAAACAAACAAAATACATCTCTGTCTTTTCGATTGACGGTCAACGGAAATAAACTTGCGTATAATATGGATTGTTTTCACATGACGTCATGGCCGCCACATCTATCAAGGGAGGCCTAAGGATTTGCGGTGATGCGCTATTGGGGAAATTTTTAAGGAAATCCCTGGTGCCGTGGTTTTCCAAGACCAAGCGGTGTGCGGTTTTTAGAATTTTGGTAAATTCCAGATCCCTACTCAAAAGATAAATGGAGAATGCTTTTATTTGGATACTTTAACTTGGAAGTAAAGTTAAACATGTTGAAAGAGAATGTATCAAAACCCTAAATTATCTCGCTAGGGTTGGAGAGCTTAATGCCTTACTTTGACCAAATCTTAGTCAGCTTGTTCCCTAGAAAAAATTCAGTCCAGTTATCAATATTCCATAGCGGCCACTTCTGCATGGCCATGTGAATAACGCGTGGACATACACCAATTTACAAAAATTTTTCTAAGGATCGCGCAGAAACTTCTTATTTCCTCAGCTATATCGTGTTCCTACACGTTTCCAGTTTACCAGTTTTACTTAAAAGTTTAAGTACATTTATTAACCTGCTTTGTTTTTCCTGACAACTTTGGATCTTAACAACTGAACGATTTCCTCCAACTTTTCCACATGCATCTCAACAATCTACAAAAAGCACCAAAAGGGAAAGCAAAAGCAATCATTAACAAAGATTCGTTCGCTGCAGTTTTACACTTCTACCTGCAGTAAAAAGCAGCCACAGTTTTCAAATCGAACAACATGCTATTACACGTGTGACAACCTTTTGAATTCGAACACCTCTCCTCAGCAGCCACTCCAACTGTCTGACTGAAGTACAAGCTTCGACATGTGACACAACACAATGTATTATTTTAGCCACACTTACTGCAAAAGTCCATGTGGACTCGATAAAAAAAACTTGTCTTCCTGAAGAAAGTCGGAATTTGCTCTTTTTAAACCCCTGACATGTAAGGAGTGTCTAGAGTAACTCAGTCAAAAGCCGATAGTTTGCTGAAATGTTCGTTTAATGTTCGTGTTCCATTAGCCTTGGAGAGCAGACACCTTTTTCGGCTCTTATTTCACCCGGCGGCTGAAACATGAGCCGAAAAAAGCGTCTGCTTCCGCAGGCTTGTGTTCCATCAACAAGTTTTTTCAAGAAGTTCGCTAATGTTCTGTAGTAAAGATAAAGAATTCGTGACACTTTGTACAATGAATCATGACTTGTTAATCTTGAGTGAACAATAGATCAATTACTAGCTTGATAGGAACCGGAAATATGATCCCTATTGTGTAAGCAAGCGTGCAAAAATGTGCATCGTGTAAAGTAGATAGTTAGATGTGCCTTCCGATCGGAATAACGTAAAAGTTACAAGCTACACCCTTTAAACTGATAAGATTTTGTGTAGGATGGAATGATTACTCAAACCTAGCCGCTCAGGATTTACGTAAGTAATGTAGGAGTAATAGTGTTTTAAGCTTTCAATCGAATTAGGGTGTTTACTAGAAAGGAAACCACATGCATTCTCTACTATATTTTCCCACGTATGATTTAGCTACCAATATGTATAAAAGTACCTTGATTTAGCAATAAACGATGAATGTGAATGTGATCAGGACTTGAGTGTGTGCAAGTCTCCTAGAATATTGATAGCCCGAAACCGGCCAGGTCTAGAGATATTCAAGCAGTCGACAGTCGACACTTATCTGTTGGCCACGAAATCAACTCCCGTTTACAACACTGGTGGCAAGCGGCGGGATCGAATTCAAGTCTTCGTGGATCAGTTCTACAAGGATCGAGGAGTTTGGCGATTCTTGGAGATAAGTAGAGCTTGTTTGTAGTTGATAAGTTGTCGGGAAGCTGTTTGTCGCAATTGGGTTTGCGGGACTTGTACTGGCTTGGTTGTGTTTTGGGTTATCGCTATTCTTGTGTACGTAATTGATTAAATTTATTATGGTTAATAACGAGGGAGAAACTCCTGCCCCTAGCTCAGGCGCTACTGCACAAGCGGCAACTAGTAGTAATAGGCCAATAGTTATGCCGGAGGCATTTTCGGCGGCCGGGAACGAAGAATGGGACTCGTGGCTTTCACATTTCGAAGATTGCGCCGTGATAAACGAGTGGAACGACGCGCGTAAAGCTCAGTTTCTCGCTGTTCGTATGCGTGGAGCCGCGTTGCTCCAACTACAGAGTTTATCACCGGACGTGCGGGGAGATTATACGGGTTTAAAAAGAGCACTTCGCGAAAAATTTGTGCCGAAAGAACGGATCGAGCTACACAAGGCTGAGTTTCGTGCAAGACGCCGGGAACGGGACGAGAAACTACCGGATCTCGCTAGTTCGCTGCGACGACTCGTCGGTAAAGCGTATCCCGAGGCAATTCCTGATTTGCAAGACAGCCTTGCGAAGGATCAATTTATCGACGCGTTGGAGGACCGGGAAATACGGATGAAGATCCGAGAATCGGGTCCAAAAACGCTCGATGAAGCGGTCAGTCGAGCCTTGCAAATCGAGGCAATGTACGAAGCGGAGTCTCGTCGGACTAAGGGTCGGTCGGTCCGAGTAATACAAGAACCAGCCCAGGATGAGCGCAGTGCATTTGCAGAACTCCTCAAACAGAACACAGCCGCCATAAATCAGATGGTTCACTTCGTCCAGCAACAGCGGCAGCCGCCTTCAACTTCGGGCGAGAGCGAACGTAAACAAAACGGTCGGGGACTGGGGCCGAATACAAAAGATCGAATACAACGCCGTTGTTTTAGGTGCCACAAACGGGGCCATTACATTGCCGATTGTCCTCAACCAGCACGGGATCAGCAGGGAAACTCCAAGTGATCGGCGCCGCGGGTCAAGCGTCGGTCGGGGAAATCGGAAAGACCCGAAATGTATCGGAGAATAATTTAAGTAAGAAAGTAGAGACTAAAGTTGTAGCAAACTCGTTTTCAAGTATTCATAGTGTTTCTAGTGACACTGCTGTGTATGTAGCGGGGCTAGTGGCAGGGCAACCGATTGACATGTTGGTCGACACTGGGTCGGCAGTGACTCTTGTGCATCAGCGGGTGCTTAACAGGTCCCCCCAAAATTTTAAGTTAAGTGTGGTTGGTGAACCAGTGGTTTCAGCGAATGGCCAACCTTTGGATATTAGGGGCAAGTGTGACCTGGAAATTTGCGTTGATGGGGTGAAGGTGGTTCATTCAGTTTTAGTTGCTGCAGATGTTACCCAGGATTGTTTACTAGGCATAGATTTCTTAGGTAAACATGGTTGCAAAATCGATTTTGAGGCTAAGTCACTAAGTATTGGGAGCAAAATTGTTAACCTTCAGGCTAAGAGTGGTGGCAACAAAGTTTATAGGATAAGTTTAGCGGAGACTGTGGTTGTTCCTGGACGTCATGAAATAGTGTTGCATGCTAAGGTTAAGGGGGCTGGTTGTGGTGATGGTTTGTTAGGTCTAGTGGAACCATCTCCAAGTTTTGCCAAACAACACGATCTTTTGCTTGCTCGTGTGGTAGCCCACCCTAAGAACAACACGGTACCTATCCGCCTGGTCAACCCGTCACCAATGCCTGTTACCCTGTACAAGAACACCTCAGTTGGTACCTTCAGTGAGTTGGAGGAAAGCAGCCCTGACCCCCCTGAGTGTAATCACCTTACGTCTGCAGCACCCCGTAGTACGACGCAGCCAAAGGTGTCCAGTAAATTCGACCTTGACTCTCTAGACCTGACTGGCGGGCAGAGGACGGCACTGAAAACACTCTTAGACGAGTATGCAGACATCTTTTCATCCGGACCAGCAGACCTAGGTAGAACCGGCGTGGTAAAGCACCAAATCGATACAGGTGACTCCCCTCCTATAAAGCAAGCGCCAAGGCGGGTACCATTGCACCAACAGGAGGTTGTGCGCCAGCACGTGGAAGACATGTTGCAGAATGGGGTGGTACGTCCGTCTACTAGCCCGTGGGCCTCACCCATAGTTCTGGTCAAGAAGAAAGATGGTGGTACTCGTTTCTGTGTGGACTACCGCAAGCTGAATGATGTGACCAGGAAGGACGCCTACCCACTTCCGCGAATAGATGAGACCTTAGACGCCCTGGCAGGTGCGAAACTGTTCAGTACGTGGGATCTGGCCAGCGGTTACTGGCAGGTCGAGATGGAGGGTGCTGACCGTGAGAAGACAGCATTCACGACCCGTCATGGCCTCTTTGAATTCCAGGTAATGGCCTTTGGTCTCTGTAATGCGCCAAGTACGTTCCAGAGGCTTATGGAATTTGTTCTTGCTGGACTGCAGTGGCAGACGTGCCTGGTCTACCTGGACGATGTTATTGTGTTTGGTCGAGACTTTGAGGAACACCTGGTGCGGCTACGAGAAGTTTTCGAGCGATTCCGCCAGGCAGGGCTGAAGCTGAAACCCTCAAAGTGCTTCCTGTTGCGACCGAAAGTCCCTTTTCTTGGCCATGTGATCTCAGCAGATGGTGTGAGTACTGATCCAGACAAGATAAGAGCGGTGGAGCAGTGGCCTACCCCTTCCAATGTGTCCGATGTAAGAAGTTTCCTGGGTCTGGCCTCGTACTACCGCAGGTTCATCGAGGACTTTGCAGAGATTGCATCCCCTTTGCATCGCCTGACAGCAAAATCCATTGAAAGATTCCAGTGGTCTTCAGAGTGCGACAGAGCCTTCCGTAGCCTGAAAGAGAAATTGGTGACAGCTCCTGTACTGGCCTTTCCCCGAAGTGACGCAAAGTTCATTGTGGACTGTGATGCGAGTGACTATGGCCTCGGAGCAGTTATTTCCCAGGAGCAGGACGGGAGTGAGAGAGTGATCGCGTATGCAAGTCGTGTGCTGGACAATCGTGAACGCCGATACAGCACTACCAAGAAAGAGATGCTTGCTATGGTTTACGCAATCAGACACTTCCGCCATTACCTGTATGGAAGACCGTTTACTGTCAGAACAGACCACAACGCACTGAAATGGCTTCAGAGCTTTAAGGAACCCGAGGGACAGGTGGCCAGGTGGCTCGAGTTGTTGGCCCAGTATGATTACAAGATTGAACACCGACCAGGACGAAAACACCAGAATGCTGACGCGCTTTCGAGAAACCCCCTGGTGGTTGCTGAGGACACTGACCAGATAACCCAGACCAATGCAGTAGGCAGCAGCACCAGTACCTGGGTACCCAGTTGGACAGTGACCAATCTGCGATCCAGTCAAGCGGCGGATCCTGACTTGAAGAAGATATTGGCTTGGAAGCAGAACCAGACCAGCCAGCCGGCTTTCCGGGAGATAGAAGGAACCAGTAAAGCAACCAGGAGCTTGTGGGCACAATGGAACAGGTTGCAGTTGGAGAATGGTGTCCTTTACCGCCGGTGGGAAACCGATGATGGTCATGGTACGCGGCTGCAGTTAGTACTTCCCAGGTCCATGGTATCCGAAGTCCTTTCCGCCCTTCATGATGCACCCTCAGCTGGCCACCTGGGAGTAACTAAGACCTTGGAGCGAGTGAGAGAACGCTTCTACTGGTATGGTCAGCAGCATGACATTGAAGATTGGTGCCAACAGTGCGAAAAGTGCTTCAGGAGGAAGTCCCCACAGCAGCCAGGAAGAGCACCCCTTGTCAGCAGCTGTCCAGGTTACCCATTTGAGAGGATTGCTTTGGACATCATGGGTCCCCTACCAACTACAGAATCTGGTCAGAAGTACATCCTGGTTGTCGGAGATTACTTCACAAAGTGGACCGAGGCATTCCCACTCCCGAATCAAGAGGCAAAGACAGTCGCAGAAAAGCTGGTGAACGAGGTTATTTCCAGGTTCGGGGCGCCCGAGCGTATCCACACTGACCAGGGCCGGAACTTTGAAGCCCAGCTGTTTAAGGAAATGTGTAACCTCTTCAGTATCGAGAAAACGAGAACAACGCCATACCACCCACAGAGTGATGGCATGGTTGAGCGCATGAACCGTACGATACAGGACATGCTGGCAAAATACGTCGCCGAGCACCAGCGTGACTGGGATGTTCACCTACCCATGATTATGATGGCATACCGGTCCAGCGTTCATTCCTCTACCCAGTACACACCCCACTACCTGTTGTTTGGACATGAGGTACGGTTGCCCTTAGACGTTATGTATGGTCGTGAACCTCATCAGCCGGAAGCAGCCTCTGAGTACGCAAGGAACCTCAGATCCACCCTGGAAGAAGCCCATGAGAGAGCTAGAGAACACCTGAAGACTGCCCAGAGAAGACAGAAGGACTACTATGATCGCCGCGTCGCTGGAGGCGAGATAAAGGTTGGAGATCATGTGTACCTTCATGTTCCTGTAATCAAGTCAGGACGGACAAAGAAGTTGCATTCGCCATGGCATGGTCCACATGTGGTTGTAAAGAAGATCAGCGATGTAACGTACCGGATAGAAGAAGTAGACAACCCCAGAAAACGGCGAGTAGTCCACTTCAATCGACTGAAGCTGTGTGGTGAGCCACGACCAAGTGCCCAGCAACCTGATCAGCCTACTGGCCAGCCTTCCAGTTTGCCAGTGCGGAGACCTCATCTTCCCCCTCGCTATGTTCCGGATGAGACTGACCTCATGTATGCAGACGGTACTGCAGCTGACGGGAACGAGACATTAGCAAGAGCTGAGGAAGAGGACTCCACAGAGGCAGAAGTGCCAGCTCCAGAACCAGTAGCTGAAGTAGTGCCTCCCCCTGTTATAGACAGACCAAGAAGAGAAGTTCATGCTCCTGCTTGGATGAGAGACTTTGTTTCTTAATTTTTGAATGAACTTTGATTAATTTTCTTAATATAGCTGCAATCAGAGTTAATATTTGTTTTGTTATAGTGGCTGTACACCCAGTGATTTCTGTTTTGCTTAAGAATCCAGTAGTTTTCCTTTCCTTTGTTGCATGGCATGGGGACATGCCCTTTTCTAAGGGGGGGCTAGTGTAGTAAAGTTAAAGAATTCGTGACACTTTGTACAATGAATCGTGACTTGTTAATCTTGAGTGAACAATAGATCAATTACTAGCTTGATAGGAACCGGAAATATGATCCCTATTGTGTAAGCAAGCGTGCAAAAATGTGCATCGTGTAAAGTAGATAGTTAGATGTGCCTTCCGATCGGAATAACGTAAAAGTTACAAGCTACACCCTTTAAACTGATAAGATTTTGTGTAGGATGGAATGATTACTCAAACCTAGCCGCTCAGGATTTACGTAAGTAATGTAGGAGTAATAGTGTTTTAAGCTTTCAATCGAATTAGGGTGTTTACTAGAAAGGAAACCACATGCATTCTCTACTATATTTTCCCACGTATGATTTAGCTACCAATATGTATAAAAGTACCTTGATTTAGCAATAAACGATGAATGTGAATGTGATCAGGACTTGAGTGTGTGCAAGTCTCCTAGAATATTGATAGCCCGAAACCGGCCAGGTCTAGAGATATTCAAGCAGTCGACAGTCGACACTTATCTGTTGGCCACGAAATCAACTCCCGTTTACAACAGTTCGATTGGCTTTAACAATCGAACGTTTACCGAAATCACTAATCTCGTACCCAGATCTCTTTTTGACGAAGCAAGCTTTGTCAA